TGCAGGTACATAATTGATGGACCTGGAGGTTTAGCATTTCTCCACCCTGCCTTAATACTGTTTAGTACATCATGTTCCAAAACAGATTGCAAACACCTGGGATGTGGACAAGGGCACTTTTTACAAATCATTTAACAAGTTGAAGTATGATACCCTAAGCTCTTCTTCATCTTGTTGTTCACATTTACATGAATTATGAGTTGTGTGATACCTGTTTAATATTCCACTATTTAAAACAGTTAAAACAGGGCAAAGAATTAGTGAATTGAATGGTGTTCCCTGTAGGTCAATACTGGGACCGGCGCTGTTTAACATCTTTGTCGGTGCCATGGACAGTGGGATTGAGGCACCCTCAGCAAATTTGCTGATGACACGGAGCTGTGTGGTGTGGTCGACACGCTGGAGGGAAGGGATGTGCCATCCAGAGGAACCTGGACAGGTGGGAGAGGTGGGACTGTGCAAACCTCATGGAGTTCAACAGGGCCAAGGGCAAGGTCCGGCCCATGGGTTGGGGCAATCCCAAACACAAATACAGGCTGGGCAAGTGGATTGAGAGCAGCCCCAGGGAGAAGGACTGGGGCGTACTAGTGGATGGAAAACTATGAGCCAGCAATGTGTGCTTTCAGCCTAGAAAGCCAGCGGTATCCTGGGCTGCACCAAGCGCAGTGTGGCCAACAGGTTGAGGGAGGGGATTCTCCCCCTCTGCTCTGCTGTGGTGAGACCCCCCCCTGCAGTGCTGTGTCCAGCTCTGGGGTCTGCAGTATCAGAAGGACATGGACCTGTTCGAGTGGGTCCAGAGGAGGCCACGAGGATGCTCAGGGTGCTGGAGCACCTCCCCTGTGAGGACAGGCTGAGAGAGTTGGGGGTGTTCAGCCTGGAGAAGAGAAGGCTCCGGGGAGACCTTAGAGTGGCCTCCCAGTACTTAAAGGGGCTACAGGGGAGGTGGGGAGGGACTTATATATATTGGTGAGTGTATGGATAGGATGAGGAGTATTGGCTTTAAGCTGATAGAGGGAAGATTTATATATAAGGAAGAAATGCTGTACTGTGAGGGTGGTGAGACACTGGAACAGAATTCCCAGAGAAGTTTTGGATTCCTCCTCCCTGGCAGTGTTCAAGGCCAGGTTGGATGGGGCTTTGAGCAACCTGGTCTAGTGGAAGGAGTCACCACCCATGGCAGGGGGTTGGAACTAGATGATCTTTAAAGTCCCTTCCAACCCAAACCATTCTGATTCTACAAATTTCTGTGGTACAATTTAATTACAGGTGCTTGGCACTGCTCATTTTACAGAAACTGCCTACAACCAGCAGCTGTGATACTCTTGTTTAGATGTCTCATTAGTGACAAGGTGAATGCTACAACTGTTTTCCAAAATAGCATGGTATGGGTGTTTGAGGAAACAATTTTCCTAAACAACAAAAAAGGAACCCTTAGTTCAACTGCAAATCCATAAAATGGACACCATAATTTTGTATCTTGAAATATCCCGTTACAGTGGGCAAGTATCATGCCTGTTTGGAGTCCTATCTTCTAGAATAAGATGATTATATCATTGGCTGCATTTATGCACTATAGCTTAGGTTTTTAAAGGTGAAATACAGGGCATTTGAATCCCACAAGTTTGAAGTCTAACAACATTTTAATTTTCACTTTTTGCAGGACTTCCTGAAATACACAAGGTGCCAAAGAAATGACACCTTACAACCTATCTCTGACAAAATTATCCTGTACAGATGCTCAACTGGAATAACCAGATTGAGAAATGATGATGGGAACTCTTCTGAAATATCAAAGTGTAGTATTTACTGAACATACATCAGAGGCCTTGGTATTTGGGTCATCTTAATGCTTCGATCTTCTGGTACTGTGTCATTCTTTTATTGCACATACTCACTCTATTAATGCTCTGTCTTATGCTGTGGGCCTTTAATGCTGCTTCTTGTAAAGCTCCCCTTTTGTTTTAAATTTAATAGTAACTGAGTTCACGCTGCATGACTATTATGGGGGGGAACCTATAAACCATTCATGTCTTAAACTGTGTTATCCTTTAGGCATCACTATTATTCCTATTTCCAGGATGTTAAGATGTTAAAAACGTATTTGTGTTCCATATATACTGTCTTAGCTTGTGAGTGAGCCACAAGAACAAGTTTGGATTGAAAAAGCAAATGTTCTAGTTTTTCTTGCATTGTTATGGTTAAGTTTTAAAAGATCTTCACTGGACATTTTGAAAATTTAGGTTTTGTTTGTTTTTTTTTTCACTCTTTGTTCTTTGACACTTAGAGGCTCAGAGTTATGTTTGTCTTCTGAATGAAAAAAAAACAAAACCAACAACTGGTCTTTGGGTTTTTTGAGATTCATGGCTCTTATGAAACACCTGGCTGTCATTTAGCATGAGCAAATGTACATATGAGAAATAACATACTGTCTCTGAATTCTTCCTGCAGTTACAGTCAGACACTGTCTGCTGTGTGTAATTCCAATCCTGCTGTGACAGCTGGGTTCACTCACTAAAATAAGGAACCCTGCAAACACATCATGGTCATCTTAAGTGCTCTTCAGATTGCCTTCTGTTCATTGCTGTTTCCCTTTGCGTATGATCAGAAGTGCATTTGGAGGTACTTCTGTTAGAATCTTGGTCTTTCCCTGTCCTTGGTGATAGCACCCAGTCTCTAGGCATCAACCAGCTACTGGTTTTGGCAAGAATTGTGTCTACTTCTTCAGTATCTATGTATTTATGTATCTGTATAGCAATAGCATGCATAGGAGATTAGAAAGATTCAGTGTCTATCTTAACCATTATTCCTCACTGGAAGGTTTTACTCCAAGTATTCTTCATAATTAAACAAAAAACAAAACCCAAAAAAACCCAGCACAACAAAAAACCCCCAACATACTGACAGTCAAACTAAATTTGGTTTTCTTCATTTTGTCTAATTACTGCACAAGACAGCCTTTGTATGAGCCTATGGAGGTTTTTTCCTTGCCCATTATTTGTAAGCTTTCATATTATGTGAAAGGCTTTAAATTTCTCTGGATAAATTATGCGTAGGTAAAATACCAACTGATTCTTTTTAATTAACATGTTCAGTAATAATGATGCTTAATTAGTTCAGACCTGCACTGCAAATTGGCCTGTACATTTCTGGTTTCTGCAAATATGGATTAAAATTAAGCTTTATAGTTTTACACTGAGGGGGTTTTAAGATTAAAACAATAGCCAAAAAAAGTAAACAAATGCAGGATTGTTCTAGTACCCTGCTTCCCCAGCACGTAATATTCTAAAAATACAGAAGTACCTAAGACTACTTTAAGTGTCAAAGAATTTCTGCAAAATTAAGTCCTTGAAACTGTCTACAAATCTCACCCTAAGAAGTTTCTTTAATTAGTTGTAAGGATGTTGAATAGCTGAGATTCTGCTGCAGTACAGTCTGAGCCTGACAGGGAAAAACATTTTTAATGCTTTTTACAGAAGTGTAGACTATGTCAAAAATGAATGTGGTGTTAATAAATCAAAGCCAAGGGGAGGAGGATCCTGTGGCCACAGCAACCTGACATATTTCCAGCCTTCTCCAGGACTGTTATAGCTCACTTGTCATACCTTTGTTTCTTCAGATCCCTCATACTCATTTCACTTTTGGAGGGGTGTGCTGGGCAGAGAAAGCTGTTGCTGGTCAGATAGCTACAGCTGTCAGGAAATAACCCATTGTACATGAAGGCATACTCCACACTTCCTACTTGTAGTGAGCTTCCTCTCAGGCTATGGAGCCCTAACCACATGATTTTTAGATATAAGGGACTTTCTCATGGTCACAGGAGGATTAGGTAACTGCCCTACTGCTCGTTCCCTCCCTGTTGGGGCATTAGGATTTGATCCAAAACCAACAGATGTCTGTGGACAGAATCTCATTGACTGACATTGATTTTAAAGTCAGACTCTATAAAGAAATATAGTCTTCATGGAGTAGAAAGTTTGAATAAATGTGATCAACTGAAATGACTGCTTTCTCCTAAAGTCTACAGCCTGCATCCAGCAGTCCCATCAACCTTCAGTGTGAATGTATATGCTGGGGGCCTAGCAGGAACACAGTTAGGCCTTCCAGAGTTTTCATAAAATTAAAGATATTCTGGATGATAGAGACTACAACCTGAGTGGCCCATTCCAATACTGCATTATCTACCTGGTGAAAAAATGTTTCTACCATGTGGCTTGAACCTCTCAAGTAGAGACATCTGCCTATGCTACTGGTTGTTATATTCCACCATGGAGAATAATTTAGCTCTATCTTCACACAACTGACCTTCAAATAGCTGTAGATTTCTAGTTAGACCACTCCCTGCCTCCTTCACCCGACTAAACAAGACTGGTTCCCTCAATCTCTCCTTGTAAGGTGTGTGCTCTAGGTAGCTGCCTAGAGCTACTGCATCCTCTCCAGTTTCTCAACATTTTCTTTGAACTGATGGCCCTAAAGCTGGCTACAGTATTTTCAGATGCAGCCTCACCATTTCTGAGTACTGAAGCATAACTACTTCTCTTACTTTGCTGACTGCATTTCTAATATAGCCTGGTATGCAATTGTCCATACTTGTGATAAGAGTATACTGTTGGCTCATGATCAGCTTAACTTCCATCATAACCCTCACATCCTTTTCAGTAGGGCTACCTGACAGCCAGTTGATCCTTACTTCTTGGCAACCTAATGTTACCCCTATGCTTACCAACCCTGTAAACAGAAAAAAATGGCAATTTTCATCCTCTTTTAAGATCAACTTGACTTTAAAAGCTTAAAGAGATTTTGTACTTGTGCTGTTGGCTTGATCTACTGCAGAGATAAGCATCAGCTGCACAATCTGCAAGCAGCTCTACATGCTTCCATAGCTGGGCTATATCCAGTATGATGGTTTTTACTCTCAGATAGCTTTCCCTCTTGGCATTCCTCATTTTGGCAAAAAGTAGCTATCCAACCAATTTTTCTGTAATTGCTCTTATTAATTACAGGCAGTTAACAAATCAGCCTGTGACAACCCATCTGCAGTCACTAAAGAGTTACAGCTTGTATATCCGACCAGGAAATTTAAGATGTTTTCAGACAGCCAATAAAAAGAGAAATCAACAACGCAGCTGACTCACACAGGAAAGCTTGTGTTGTGTTTGAATGCAGTTCAAAGCCGACTCACACTTGGTATCTATCTACAGCAGTTTCACTCCATTGTCCCACGGTTTTTATGCCTGTATTTTCAGAGGTAAGTTGATTTTTGTTTCCAATTTCTTTTACTGAGTCATCTGAATATTTATTGTAGAATTTCTCTCATACTAAGGAAAATATCTTTGTTAGTAATTACTTTTTTAAAATTACCTTTAAAATTGGAAACTTGAAATAAATGGTTTTATAGCAGTCTCCCTCCTGCTGCTGCCTGTCCAACTACGGAAGGTGACAAAGCTGTCAGAGACTCTTAGTGTCTTACTAAAAATGATACAAAACACTTCATTGCAAAGGTCACCTAAGAAATATTGGGTTTGATAGTGAGCTTTTAAAAGGGTCTAGGAGAAAAAAAAACTCAGAAGAGTAGAACTATTGGAAAAAATGGCTTTGGTACCAAACTTGCAGTCTGGAGGGTAGAGAAAAACTTTGTTATCTGTAATTCCATGATAGTCCCATATTCCATGATTAGTCTTTCCAACTGTTTCAGGAATCTGGACAGCACCCGAGATAAATAAAAGATTTCTCATTTTATGGTTAAACTATTTTGGAGATTATCAGCAACTCACTCTAAATTGAGGTGTGGAAACATGCAAACTCAGACAGGGGTACAGTGGTGCTTGGCATGTCATGGTTTGTAACAGAGAAAGTCTGAAGTGGTTTTCATTTTGGTTTTAGAAAATCTGTAGTTAAATTAGGTTTTGCAAATCCAAAATAGGAGCTGATGGCTAGATTTATTTTTATCTAAGCATCCAGTTAGCAAGAATTTAAAAAACTGTTATAGCTTTACTGGATTAAATTTTAAATAAAAATACTTTCAGTAATGGTTTAGATTCTCTATTCATTGCTTGATCTTCCTTGTGCTATGTTTAGAGTTGAGTAAATTCTTTTGACTATTTAAATCATTAGCATAGTATATAATAAAAATGAGACATAACTTTGCTCCTGCTAGCCTTTTGATTACCTCCTTTATGCTTAGGACTGGTAGATCTGTGTGAGTTGTCTTTGCAACTTTAAAGGCTAAATGGCTCATTTGTAAAATTATCTTAATTCAGAGGAATCTTTTCAATTTTCTGAAGCTCTTAACCTGTCTGTCAGACTCCTACCATACTGGACTTATTCTGTAAGGAAACGCTAAGCGAAGCACCTAAGGCATCTATTGCTTTCAAACTAGAATAATCTAACAAACAGAAAAAAATTCAACTGTGCTTTCCTGTCAGAATAAAACACTATTAAAGCTGAACTGGTAAATCAGATGCCAGATTTTATTTGCATTTTAACTGTGATTAGATGCAAAACTGAGATTAGTACCCCTCTGATTGTGAACGTGCTGCATGGCACAGCTGAGATACTGAGGTTAACTGAAAGTAAGATGGTTGTGAACAAGAAGCTATAAGCACAGCTGAATTTAATCTTCAGGGGTTTTTTTTTTCTATTTTGCTCATGGAGAATAAGTGAACTGCTCAAAGTCAGAAGACTTTCAGTTCTTCTGCACCCCAGGAGCTCTGTCTGTAGAGCCCATCTTTTAGAAGGACACAATTCACACTCAACAGTCTTTACTGGTTACCTCAAATTTTTGGCCCTGTTACTTCAGTTCCCTCATGTGTTTCCTTTTCTAGCTCTGGTCTACTGGACCCTGAAGGGAGTATTCCAGATAGAGCTGTTCTGACTCACTGACCACTGATCTTGCAGTAATCCTTACCCATGGTTTTATCTCATCCATTTTCTTAGCTTGCTTGTTTTCCTCTTTCACCACTGACTTTTGGTTATCTTTAGTCTAATGTAGCTTCACAGATGTAAGTAAAAACATTACTCGTGTAGTAACACAGTGATGACTTGCAGAGGTTATCTCCAATCCACGTGCATTGCCATGCGATGTGTCTGAGACATTCAGATGGCACTAGAGAGGTACTGTATAGAGAGAGGATTGGCCAAATTAGTGGCTGCTATAAAGACACAACTCCATTTAGCAGAGACCTGCCAGCTTACAGAAGCAGGAAATCTGCCTTTAACCCTGCTTTTGCATTCATATGTGATGTTGTATTAAAGAAGATATGAGAGAATGATGCAGAACATGCTAAAAGGAGTTACTGAATAATTGCCTTTTTTATGAGAAGCAGGGAAACCATATTTGTCTAGCATGTAGCTCTAAGATTCTAGTTTGCTGTCTACATAATTCAGTATCACTTTAAAATCACACTTCAGTCATATAGTATAAATACTGGTCCAACATTTCAAAGTCACCAGATGGAAATAATAATGAGGAATTAATTAGCAGCTTCAGATGACAAGTAATGGTCCAGACACTCCTTTGCAATTAGTGCATTTTTCCTGTCTTTATAAGGAAAGTCTGACAGAGTGGTAAAAGGAAGCCTATTTGGATTAGGATGATAGTTATTTGAGAAATAAGGGGTGGTGCAACTGGGCTTTGGTAGTAATGACAAAAAGTAGTTCTTAAAACTTTTTTTGTTTTCTGCCATTTTTTTCCCCCAAGCCAGCCATCAAGAAATGGCCAAATCATTACCTGTAATAGCTCAGGAAGATTTGGATAGCTTTACCTTGACCAGGACAGGCTCAGGCTTTGCACTGAAAGCCTTTCATATTTCTTGGAACACTCACATCGCTGTGAAGCTGCTGACCAGCCAGGACACTACAGAGAGGTACGTGTCTTATTTGGCCAACTAACAGCGCGGGAGGGCAGCACAGAACTGTAGTGATGGCACCAGAATGAATTGTGACATTCCCAGGATCACCCGATCCCTAAACACATCTCTATTCGTAGAAATCCTTACTAGCCAAGAGGAAGCTTGGAGGCAGTTAATACTGAGAAACAAGCTCTATGTTTTTTATAAATTTTTACAAAAGTAGAGCTTAACCCTGAAGTTATTAATTATGTCTACTATATTAATGTCTACAAACCCTGATCAGTAATAGTAATACTCAGCACACTATGGCATGACATCTTTCTCAATGTCCCTGAAGAGATCTCAGTTAAGACCAGCATGTACCAGGTGAGAGAGTAGAAAAATGGGAGGAGAGAGGGATAATGGTCAGGGTTACAGGGCAGTAAGATATTTACACGTCCTAATTATAAAAACAAATGAGCAGTAACTGCCAGACATCAGCCTACTGACCTCAAAATTCCAGTGTGCAACAAAAACACAGAAAGCTTCCAAAAGTAACCACAAGCTACTTCATCAGAAGCAAGACCGAAGCATTTTAGGGAATGCACTGATCTGACTGTTTATCAAAAAAGGAGTGTCTGATGTGCATCTATGGACTAGTTACTCTTGTTAACTAAGAACACTGCCACACAGGTGGCTTTTTGTTTAAAAAAAACCCAAAGAGTGTCCTCACATAGTGTATAATTTGTTCCATTATAAAGGCAGGGGAGGAAAAAACAGTATAAAAATATTTTCAAACTGACAGTTTAAATTGTCAGTGACACTTCAAACACTACCAGAATTGGGGAAGAGTTGAAAACTGTAAGGGGTTTTTCTGTGGCTTGGGGGGAAGATTGCTTGTTTTTAGACAATAAAAGTCCAGCAATTCTGTAATCTGAACAAATGTTAATTTTTAATTAACAAATGCTTAAACAAATATTATTTGTTTAAAGACCAGATTTTCCTCTGTCCCCTCTCCATTTTTCTTTAAATCAAACCATAAAACAAAATAGTTAGTTACAGACATTAACATTTTCCTTTGCTTTAAATTTAACATGCTACCCTGATTTGGCATCTTTTCACTCAAATTTGCTCCCTAGAAGTAAAGCCATTGTTTTGCTTTTCTCTCTACCAATCTGTTCTCTTGTTTACACTACACAGTGTTTAGGAAGGAGAATAAACTGTGGTTTACTGCAGCTGTAAAGTGTTTCTGTGTGCTGATGATAAATATTTAGATTTGTGGAAATAAGTGTTAAAACAGGTGGGGCTGTGAATTCCTTCCAGTGATTAGTTTACAGACTTGTGAGTCAACATAGTAAGTATGAGAAACTGAAGTCTCACTGTAAAAAGGCTGGTTAGAATAATGAGAATGAGCTCTAGGTCTGTTGAAATCAACTGAATTTTGCATTAATTTCAATGAATGTTTAGCTCAGAAGTACCATAGAGGAATCAGATATTTAAAATCAAACATACAATTAAAAAAACCCACAAACTTGTAGCAGAAGTTTAGTTATTTCCATGAAAATGCACAATTGAATTGACAGGTCAGTGCTTCCTGTGCGCAGACGTAGCTGTTTGAAGTCCTCAGACAACAAAACTTACTCTTCTGATGGTGATCAAAGCCAAGCTTTGTTATTCTCTGTAAATAAACTCTGAATTCATGTCTACAATCCAACTGCAGTTGAGCTTCAATCAAATTTGGCAAAGTCACTAGAGTGGTACTGATTACATCAGATCTGAATTTCTCTTTGATATCATGCTATCACACACTATAGCATATATCATTTATATAACATAGTCCCATTAGACAAGCATGGAAAATATTAATGCCTTCTAAATGTGGATCCCACTAATAGCTAAAGGATACCATACAAGTTTTTGGGGACAGTAAGGGGAAAAAAACTTGATTTTTCTTCAGCTAGTATTTCGTATAATTCAGTTTTCTCCTGCCTTCACACTTCAGTCCTGCTTTAAACTGTGCCCTAATGTTCATATCAAATAATCCAGAGGTCTTTCATGTTGTATTAGAAAAATATATTACACAAGGGATAGCTTCATTATCTTAGAATTGTTTGGAAGGTGAGATAATATTCAGTTTATTGGGAGAATTATATTAGCTTGTGTTCAACTATATGGTTATCCCTCATTTCCATATCCTACACAATCTCATCTCTAGCTGAAATTCCCTTCAGTCTAACCTGCCTCTAACCCTTTTTTTTTTACAGGGAGTGGAAGTTGCTACTTCAGGATATAGCAAGTGTCAGATGCTTTGAGTCTGAACGTCTCCTGCCTTCTCTTGGGATTTACCAGTACCACAGACTTGTGGGAATAGTGACTGAATGGATGAACAATGGATCCCTCCACTCGCTCATTCATGAGGTACATAAAAGAAGTTGTCTTTTATGTGACAAAACTAATTACAATGTCAGCTAATAGAGAAAAATCAGCATGTAAATTATGGACAGTAGTCATAGTCAATCTGTTCTTTAGCTTCTGTACTGTACTTCTGTTTATTGTCAAATGAAAATGTGAATAGTAACAATTTCATACTACCAAAACCTGTATTTTGTGTTACTTAGCATCAGCTGTACCCGGAGGTCCCATTTCCCTTGCTCATAAGGATCCTGTCGGATGTGGCTGAAGGGCTGCATCACCTTCACAGCCTCAAACCTGCTTTCTGTCACTGTAGCCTGAAACCTTCCAATGTGCTTTTGGATATGCAGTACAGAGCCAAGGTAGGAGCTTCTACTTTTAGCCTTAATGTAAAATCCAGTGAGTGTCCTATTGTTGCATATATTTATCCTGATAGTCAAAATTTTAATACCAAGACGAGGCACTGTTACTAAAATTTACTTTTTTTCCCAACTCTGTAGATATCTGATTATGGTCTAACCAACTGGAGGAAGAAGCAACTGAGGTCAGACCTGCAGAACTGCAATCAGAGAAACTGCCAAGATTTACTGTACCTCCCTCCTGAAATACTTGAAGGAGGCCCTCCTTCCCAGGAAGGTGATATTTACAGGTGAATGAGATTTCTAAGGACAGGTCATACCTAGTCCTTGCTACATTCTACAATGTTGCTGAAATACTTATTTTCAAAGACACTACAGTAAAAATGCCATGTCTACAAAATGTAGTAGGATAGTGTTCCATATGAGGCCAATTTCAGCAGTGAATTAAATATGAAATTCCCTATATTTAGTGAATAATATACCAAGGATAAGAACGGTTCTCAAACTTTGTCTTGTAAATATTTATATAATGGACTTAAATGTCTAAAAAGCATAACATAGCTGCCAAAACTTTCATATACATTTAGAAACCTAGTAACTACTTCACATAATTTCAAAGTGTGAACTGTTAGCTTTAGTTTCAAGAAGAAATGTTTATGCCTAGATGAGGCCCAGATAAAAATAAGATCTTTCTCTCAATAGTGTCCCATTTGGGCCCTATGGAAACTTTGCTGGAACAACTTACTGAGCCACTCAAGCATTCATACTTTTTAAAAGTGATTTATACAAAGGAGGAAGATTACCTACTTGCCACATGTCCCTTTTGGATATGTTATGTGCTTTGTGGTTGCCTCAATAAATGAGACAATCTCAGATTGCAACTGTTGTCTGTATGAACATGCATTTTCACAGCTGGCATACAAAACCTGTGGACTAATGTTATAAATAACTTTCAAAATTGACCACTCTTCTGCTTTCAGAGCTTTTATGGAAGCAACAAATTTAAACTCCTGCTTTATTGTCACATAAATTATGTGATTAATCTGATGTTGTTCATAAACACAAAATTTTTGCGCAGGAAGAGTGGAGGCTTACTTTCAGGTAGAATAATTAATTTTCCAACACATCATTCTTGTATAATTTTAGATGCTCTGATGTGACTCAGTGCATGAGATTGGTGCACGTCTAGACAGTGGTGCAACAGAGAAAACCAAAGTGTATGTCATATATGAAATGTTAAATACATGTAAGTTACATGTATGTCCACATTACATTGATACTTTCCTAGAGCGTATTCAAGTAAAAGCACTTTCAGATTTCATGTGGAAATAAGGCAGAAGAGGGCATTCTTTTAAACACTGTAATTCAGCACTCCAGTGAGATATAAGCAGATATGTTTATCCTAGAACTGCTTCTTCCCCTTTTGATTGCTTTGCTTCTGACTCACCCATAGCCTGCTTTCTCCCTTCCAGAAGACTCCTTGCTTATCCTTCTGATTTTGCAGCTTGAGCTTTCTATCAAACAATTGTACCTTATACCACCATCTAAGCTGTGTGTTATATATGTAGATCTATGGTATCACTGGAATACTTCCTAGGATGTCAGAAAAGGAAAAAGGTATCTGGACCCCCATCAAAATTTGCTGAAGAAAACAGACACACAGTGGGTCAGAATCAAGTTTTTTTAGGTTAACTGATGTGCTTGTCAGTACCTGAAAAGTTCAGCTCTTTTACTTGCTATTTGAATTACTTGAAAACAAAACAAAAATGATAGAGAAAGGAGAACAGAAGGTTCTGAAATTCACAAGAGCAAATGGAAATAAGGTGGTAACTTGAACTGTAATTCCAATTGATCTTGTGTTTAAAAATGTTTTTTTAAATAATAAATCAGAATTAATATTTTATAAGAACAGCTCAGTTGAAAACTGAAACTTAATAATGTAGGAAAAAGGATCTAATAAAATTAGAAAAGACTTGGATACACTTAGCCTTGAAAAACTCCTTTCTCTTAAACCAATAAACTTTCTCTTGGAAATGAGAACACAGATATGGATTGCAAACCAATGAATGGTATTTCACTGTTCTTTTTTCAGTTTTGGAATACTTTGTTGGGAGAGCCTAAGCAGACAGAAACCTTTTGAAGGTATTTATCTCTATTGTTCATATCAGACTTTGTGTTGCCCTCATCTTTTCCACAAATTCCCTTATTGTAGGGAAATTATGATACAAATTGCACTGTCTTTTTCAGATGTCCCTTTGCCTTCTATTACTGTTACAGCAAAGTTCCACATTATGGGATGTAAAGATTAGAATCCCTCAACAAATGCTCAGTGTTTCCAAGGAAGCTTATCTTTCTGAAGGGGAAAGGCATAGCTTCTAACCTGACTTGTATCATCTCCCTGTGCTTGCTGAAGCACTCTGTTACTGAGTTGGATTTTACACGTACTTTTAGTGAGAAAGAATATCACTTTATATTTGAGAGTTGTAATTTTAAAATTGGGGAACATTTTAGTAACAAACAGCTTAACTGGATGATGAGCAGAATGCTGATTTTTAAAGTTGCTGTGAGTTTCAAATCCCAATCAAGCGATGCCAATTCATACTGAATTCTCTTAACTAATCAGGGGATCTTACTTTCTTAGATGCAAGTGTGAGCAGTTTTAAACAACTTAGTTTGCAAAGCATTGTATAATAATTGCCACACTCTGTGAATGATCCCTGCTTCATGGAGGGTGGAGATCAATGAAAGGCTTCTTTGCTATAGGCTCCATTCTTCATGGCAAAGCTGACTGAAGGACTCCTGTATTTTAGAAACTGAGAACCTTTTAGAAATACTGTATAGAATAGTACCTTAACGTTCACACAGTTTATGGCTGCCATCTTGTGGCTGCCATCAGGAGATCTTTTTTGTACAATAGGAGTTACATTCTTATAATGCAGATGGATATAAGACTGTGTTTAGAATATACCCATAATAATTACATGTATTCCTGATGTATGCGTGCATATAGTTTACAATGCATTTGTGACAATATTTGGACAGAATTCTTTATCTTGAAATATCCTGTTCCAATAATCAGCTATAGTTAATTGTTAAAGATTAGCCTATCTATTCACAACAGTGTTAATATATTTTTGCTTTTAAAAAACAGCAGTCTTTGTTTTAAAAATATACAAAATAACTTATGTTAAGTATCATTTTAAGAAAGTTTTGTGGTCTTTAATATGCTTTGCAGTGACATTTTCCTATGAATTGCAGGTCAAACAACCCTGCTGGAAGTTTTGACAGGAATCTGCAGTGGTTTGCGGCCTGGCATTTCAGAAAAGTTTATACCAAGTAATTTACCTGAGAGGAATAGACTGTTGCAGTTTATCGCTCTATGCTGGTATCAAGAACCAGATTATAGACCACGTACTGCAGGTAACATTCAGGAGTTGCTTTCTTTGCAAGATATGCAATGGAGATTAGTCTTGCTGGGAACATTGCTCTAGCACCCTAAATCAACGACAGAACAACTGAAGTGAAAGTCTTTAGATCATCAGAGTACTGTAGATGGTTTTTCTAACTGAAGCTTCCTACCAGAAATGGCTAACTTATCTCCAAAATTGTGTTTAGTATAAAGTAAAAATGAGTACAAATAAACACAGGGATATTATTAGCTATATAATCTAGTTTAACAGAGATCAACCTGTCTTAAGGATTTCTTGATTCTATGGCATGACCAGTTCCCTCTGAAGTGTGCTATCACTGTTTACCTTAGTGGAAATGTTGTTTATCATCTGTTTCTAAAAAGATAACCAAGAAATGTTAAAATTGTGATATTTGAGGACTTTCGAGCAAAATTTCAAAGTTGAAGTGCTGAGGAAGCAAACTGCATATAGTTTTATTGTGACAGACTTACATAGCCACGTGTAAACCTTTTGCAAGTAATTTCACTATATCCGAACACTTAAGAAAATGTGATTTTAATGTGACTGTAATTTTTCTTTAAAATCAGTTCAAAAAGGAAACCAAAAGCAGGACATAAGAGGTGGAAGTTATATTAAACTAATTTCATCTAGTTTATCTAGCTACTCAACAGTAATAGTAAAATTGCAATACGCTGATTCCTAAATATATACACACTTTCATATGCAATGTGGTATTTAAAATGCTTTATTACCCTGCAGAATGTGTAGACCTTCTAAATGGAATTCTGATTAGTATAAATAAGGAAGAAATTTCCACTGCAATCTACAATCTGATGGATGCAAAGGTTAGTGCAAAATTAAGTTTTATTCTCCGACAAGGACATTACTTGATTTTTTTCAATTACAGTCTTTGTGGTCCAAAACCAGGAAAGGCTTTGTCTTCGTTGTTTTATTGGACATGCCAGAGAGCTGGAGAGCAGGTTCATTCAGGAATGGTACAAAATATATTTTGTTAGGTTCTCCAGGAACTATGTTAATTGCTACCTGCGACTATAAAAATATGACAGCTTCTTTCCAGCCACCAGCTGTAGTCAGACTGGGAAACTCGTGTGAGTGAGAGCAAATACCAGCCTTAAGCAGATCAGATTAGGGCTAGAACCAAGGACAGTCTTTGTTGCCTGTACTGGTTAGAAGGCATTTAGTCCAAAACCTGGACAGTGTTTGTATCTGTTATAGCAATACTAGTATCAGCTCTCTTTGGTACACTTCACTGCTTCTAGATTGATATGCTTCAGGCACAAGACACTGCTTGTCCCAGGGTCTCAGAGTTCTCTGATACCACAGAAGTGGATGGGGAATGGCCAGCAACTGAGGGATACAGCTAACTCCATATACTTCTATACTGCCGTGGGAAATCTGGCACAAATCTGACTCCCACAAATATAGCAATATCCTATGTAGTTAACTTAGTCATAGTGGGGAAACTAGTGACACATGCTTCAGCCCTTGAACAAGTATTCTGACTCCATCTGGATTTACACAACCCATGCTGTGTTGTTGGTTTCATTGCTGTGTTTATGAGAGTTGTTTATGTTAATGCATGCTGGATTATTTCTACATTTTGCAATCACATTCTGGGATTACATTACAGACTTGATCAATGTTTTAAAAGGTGACATAGTTACAGTCCAAGTTATTTTTACTACTGTTGAAGTTTGTTTATGATTGTACTGCCAAATATTCCATAATCTAATACTTCAATCTGCCTCGAGCAAGGTTTTATTTTTCTATTTGTTAAATTAGCAAAGAGCACTATTTATTATTCAAACAACAGAACTGATAATGTGTTCAAAATGACTGTGAAAATCCTACTGGGGATTCTTAAAAATTAATTGTTTCATAAATGCTGAACTATTAAAAAATAGTTTAACAAATCTGCTGTGTATGTACAAAATGGAAAAAAGTTTCAAGTATTGACACATCCTTATCGCAGACAGTTTGGCATGCTAAACACAGGATGGCCCTGCTGTTTGGATACTTAAAGGAAAGCATGTTATAACTAGCCCAATCTTCCTTTCTCTCAATATAAGGCTATTTTTTCCCCTCCATGATTCAAAACTGGGTTTTAAAATAAATTTGAAACAGCATAAGCACTAACAGGGTAGAGTTGTGTCAGATTCTACACCCACTTACATGTGTTAAAATGCAGAATTGTTAGTGTCAGTACAAATTCTTGCTCCTGACAACTGTGAATTGAACAAACCATACATATGCTTACTGGAGTTACTGTGCTGTTTTTTCCAGGAGACAGCACTCAATGCATGCAAAGGTTCAGAAATATACACATTGCAGACGGGTATATGCAATTCAGAGGTAAGCATGTGGCATGAAGTCAAGATTACTTTATAAACTGCTTGTTTCTCCTGCCAGCCCTGACTTGTATAATACAAACACTGTACAGCAAAATGACCTGAACTCTTTTTGTCCCTAACCAGGATAACTCCATCCACTTAACTAACAAAACCCACTGTGTTACCTTCTTCCAAGCAGCTGACTCTGACATTGCTCTTGCAAAAACAACCTCTTCCAGTTAAGAGTTGCTTTGAACCTCTCCTTGAAAAGGTCCTAATAAAACTGCAAAAACCTAACCTTTCTTGTAGTGTGTTCAAAATGATGGCTGGAAAAAGTGCTAGTCTGAATTCTAGCATTTTCAACCAGTTTTCTTAGAGCAACGCCAACTCCTTCATGATAGCTCCAAAATACAGTTAACTCCCATTTTCAGAGTGATTTTGGCACTTGTGGCAGCCCTGCCAATACTAAAAGATACAGAGATAAAACCTCAAACTCACATGTCTGGACGGGAGCTAACTTTAAATATCTCAAGTTCTAATGACACCACGGCTGTTGACAGCACAGGCTGCAGAAACAATCTTGGACTGCAGTAAACCCTAGGACAAAGGACAACTAGCTGTGGCTTCGTGCTGCCACAGTGACTCAAGGCAACTGGTTAAAGTTGAATTAAGTGTATCTGCAGGCTCAACAGCTGCATACCCACTGTGCCCTGCACTATGATACTACTGCCTCATATTCTAAGAGAAAATTGCTTAGAAAAAGCTTTGGAACAAAAGTTTCCATGAAGATAATTCTTCTCTATTTTGATCTCTTTCAGGTTATCTGTCCACAAAAAAACAACTACTTAATCAGCAAGAAAGTTCCTTTTGTAGTGCCAAGCTTGTCAGCTATTCTACTTGATAGCAGTGGAAGTAATGCCGGAAAAGAAAATATTCTTGAGACGGGTCTGTCAAATATTATCCCACAGAACACAACAACAAAGAAAGGTCTCTATCTTGAAACATTCAGCTCCAGCTATTCTAAGAAAAGGATAAATAATATTACCAGTTGTTCCATATACATATTATTTTCCATGTAAAATTGTCCCTTCTCAGAGTACAGTTGTGCATTCTACTGGTATCATCTGCAGAAATCAAGAGATGCCACAATAACATTTGATTATTTTTTTTTTTTTTTTTTTTTTAGAACCCTAACCTACATGTACACCTGTATTTTCCTCATGCATCAAATATTGCTTGTTGCTTTAATAGAACCCCTGTCCTGAGGTTTCCTCCTAGGAACCACACTGCCTTTGTGCCACCAGGAATAACTGCTTTTTTGTAACTTGCTAATAAGAAAATAAATATGTTTTAAAAAGACTCTGTTGCAAGGAACATGTGAGTGATTACTGGTAATCACCATTCCTAAATAAGTAACTTCCTTTTGCCTTTCCAATGTGAATTTGTCCTATCAAAGTGTTAGAATTTGTGTCAAGCAGAGATATTTCCTTAAAAGCTTTTTCTGTACTTCTTAGGCCTTTGATACAAAAGTTGAGCCATAGGAAACTTACTTATAGCAACACCTGCATTTCCAGGCATTTTAGTTCTGATCAACAGCCATCAGACTTATGGACAGAATAGAATGTTCCATAACTTCAGAAACAAATTCCTACAGAGAGTTTGAAAAAGTCAGATGTATGTAGTAATATATACCAAAATCTTCCTAGGAATAATGATGTATTAACAAGTGCCCAAAGAACAGCTAGTAATAAATAAGTGCTCTCAAGTTAGTCTTCGGTTACAGTTTTCTGCAGTGTATAATGTTCTGTTGTTGTTCAATTCAAAGGTCTCATCTTACTCAAACTTTTTCTAGGTCACCCAGGCTCTAACAGTAGAAAATCAAATTCCTTTTGCACAATTCCTTTACCTGGTTCAACTGCAGGCAAAGAAAGCAATCAGCATAACGACCCACCACTGGCTCTTAAGCACACAGCACAAGCAGTGACAGGTAAGACACAATTTCCACTTTGAGGTGGCAATATTCTCCTTGGCCAGATCTTAGTGATTAAATTGTTTAAATTTTGGAGAACACGGATGTCTAAATTTTGTGCACATTTTCAGTTATTCAATGTAATACCTCCTCCAAACTTGGTACAAATGTCTCATGAGTCCATTTGTGTATAGCTGCTCCTATGTTCTCAGAAGTTCGGGCACTGGCCACTGAGAATCTTGGCTTCTTCTTTTCCAGGGTCATATTCAGGTGGAGAACAGTTCTGAAAAGACCATAATAAAAATAATACAGCACACATTGGATGTGAAATACATCAGTTGATTAAGTCTGGAATTTTTTTTTGTTAATTTTAAGCTGTGTAATCTATACCTCCAAAAAAAGTAGCTATTGACCACAGGTGACTAGGAGGAGGGGGGACATCCATTTCCTTTACTTACATGCTCTCAGCTCTTTCTGCCAAACAAAGGCAGAAAAGGCCAGCTTCTGATCTGTGAAGTCTGCCTCTGTCTGTAGGTGAACTTTGAGCTTTTTTTTACTTTTTGCAAGCTGTGATACTTCTATGATACTTCTCACATCTAGCTAGCCATCCTTCTACACTTCCATTTACTTCTGAGCGATGATTGTAATTTCTGCATAAATCAACAGATTACTGTGTGCAGGAAAACATCACAGAACTCTACTGGTAATAATCAGAAATCAGAATGACAGAGGCATGTTCTCCAAAGCAGCAATGGCTTTTAGTTACTAATTTTCTCTCGGTGTGTGATATTTACTGTACACTAAGAACTCTACTGTCAGTCTAAGAATTCCAGTCAGTTTGTGGAAAGAGACAGAACACAAAGCTCTTGACCATTTTGCCAAGAGTATTACTTTTGTTACTCGCTTGGCTTTGACATATATTCAGGTTCCCAGTTTCACGCTGTTTCAAACAGTCCTACTACCCTGAACTACCTATTATCTGTTCTTCCACTTCCTATAGGACAGTTTTCTCATCTATGTCAAGCCAAGATACTTTGTAGAAAGTTTGATACAGATGCAAGATGAATAGCATGAGACCTGAAAATCGCGTTCTCTTACGCAGTCTGAGCATTTAATAATTTTTAGAAACCCTTATTTTCTGTTATCTGATCTTCATGAGTTTTGAACGAAAAAATGAAAATACATTGGACTAGTTTTTAACAAAGAATGCAAATAAACTAACTCCTACTCCTTTCCCATACTGAATTTTTTTCTGGTGTTGATGCTATCACTTGCTAACAACTTCTGGAAGAAAAGAGCACTTAGTTTATCTCACTTTTGTTTCCTTTTCACTCAAGATGCTTGCTGCAAAGGAAACTGCTGTCAAATACTAGCATGCCAGAGACAGATCATACTGAGCTGCATGACAGAAGGACGCCTCAACCACATCCTTGATGTTCTTCGCTCACAGCAAATGTTGTCCCGAATGGACTATGAAACAATTGCCTCTTACCCCACAGTGACTGGGCGTGCTCGGGCATTGTTGGACACTTGCCTTTGCCTTGGAGAGAGGGCAGCACAGGTTGTAGTGACTGTACTTTCAGTGACCAAATGTAGTCCTCTGGGACTGGGCAGCCATTGCCCAGACTGTCCTTCTAAGGTAAATAGGTTGTTGTTGTGACTTAATTTTTTGCAGATTGTTACATGCAACAGAGCACTGGTAATAGCAGTGATTCCTGTTAATTCCTCATTAACCTACTGACTGCATTCAGTCCTTCCTACAGCCCATGATTTTAGTTCTCTAGTGGAAAAGGCTAGCTGGATTAATAGGTCAAGTCAATCACTGCCTGCAGAAATTACCAAAACTGGTATAACAAATTCTAATGTGGACCTCAGAGATGAGAGGACTGCAATGTGTGCCAGAGCAAAAAGGCAGATGGCACCTTATTTCCTTGATTTTTTTTTCTTTTTGAAGGGAGGAAAATGGATAATGACTTTTTGGAGGTCACACTATGGAAGAACAGCTGTTACTAAATCCTTACAAATAAGGATAGCAAACAACAGGTTACTGGATGAGGAGAAAAAAGTTTACTGCTTTTCACTCAGCTGGTATCCGAGCCAGCTGTTAGAGTGAAAGGCTTAAGAGAATCAAGAAATATTTGTTCACCAGGGCCTCAAGTAAGACTTGGAAATTGTATATTATGCATAGAAATTACTTTTTTTCACTCACAAATGATCATATGTTCTGAAAATGGGGCACTGATAGCAGCAATTTGGAGAGGTAGTCTTAAAGTATTTACTAAATGGAAAAACATTAATACCGTACATCCATGTTGTCTGCCAGTTCAAGTGTAAAGTTAAACAAGGAAGAAGAGGTGCCAAGCTGATGATTTTGAGATGGTGCTTCTGCTGAACTGTAAAGGAAAGTAAAAAGATTATTTTAATTATAATAAAAATGAGGTTATATAAGATGGTGATTTTTTTGTAGGCACAGTGGGATTCCTTCAAGCTTCATGGCACCGGATTAACATGAGAATTCGTTATATAATCTACAAGTATTTCAAATGCAAAACCATGTTACTCTGTTTCCCTGTGTTGCATTTGTTCTCTCTGCAGTTTCAAACTGCTTACTGAATTCAGTAGTTTGGCAGCTTGCAATTTTAAATAGAGGGATGGTGCATTTTCTACACAGATTTAAGAGATAAGAAAGCTGTTACATCGCATACAGCAATGCTGCTGGAACCATAAACAATTTTTTAAATGTAAATTCATTAAACTTTTAAAACTATTAAAAGCGATGTCTATCACATTGTGTTGACAACTGTTTTGCCTATTAAAGGAGTTAAACATCTACTTCACTGTTGAATTTTTTTTGGTCTACACTTTAAATGGGAATTTTCAACAGTCTCTCCTGAAAAAAGATGTCTTGCTTGTGAAGAACTGCTGTCATGGTGTTTTGACTCTTTAGAAGGCATAAAATAATCAGAGTAGAACAGATAATCACTCACCTGTGGGAAGTATTTACAGACTTTTAGAAGAGAAACTGGCAATATTTTTGAAACTTAATTACCAGCTTTCGCAGATTAATCCATTGAATTGTTCTGCTGGACACTTTACGTTTCTGTGAAAGATGTGCCAGCTGGCAGACTATGCTGATTTTTTTGTCATTATGTTTTTGACATAGAAACAGTTTTGGCTCTTTTCTTGAAACAGCTGCCTACTTGAGAATATAATTTCATGCCAGACCTAAGACCAGTCTTAACTGTTAATTGCAGAACTGGCATCAACCCAGTGGGAGCACAAGTTACCTGTTTTTCCAGACAGATTTTTGTTCTTCTCATATTTAGCTTTCCAATTTAATGTAATAGGATGTGACCTTAGAGTTAAATCTATTACTATCATGCTTACCCAAATATTTTAGAGATAACCCAAGAAGACAGTTTATAACAAATTACAAACCAAAGGCAAATTTGGTAATTCATATTCAAAAAAGCCTGAACAGAATTCTTTAAATGTTATTTAATAATTAACTCTATCCACAATCAGATTTTTGCTACCTTGTTCAACTGAAATCAATGCGTGAGTTAGAGAATTTTTTGTGTGTTGATACTTTGGCTAAAAACACTGTTATAACTAGCTATGCTAGTGTCAAAACCTTGCTATAAACATATTTGAGTTGATATAGCCAAAAGCATAGACTTCCTCATAACTCTCCCATGTGTAACAAACATTTAAATTTTGGAGTCTGACAGTTGCAGCTGTTGGGAGTCTTTAACTTTTGAAGGAATGCTACTAATTTATTGAAATGAAACTGCTGTTGATATAAAAAGTTTTGATATAAAACTATAATACAGTGACCTGAAACTAGCATAATTTCATTTTATCTCACTAAAACCACATACTCTTATAATGCCTATAAAGTGTTGGGTGTGTAACAAAGATATGGGTGTCATGTTGATCATGTATTAACTGCTGATCATATCAAACTGCTTAAAACTGCTAGTATTCTACTTGTACCCAAGCTAGTTCATTGCTAAGATTTCTACTGGCATTGCCTCTGTGTTCTGCAGTTCTCTTGATATCACAAACCAAAATAGAATGACACCAAGCAAGGGTAAAGACAGAAGAATCAAACCTTTCTTTAGTATCTATGGGAAGAAACGAGGCTGAACGTGAAGAATGTCTAGAGTTCCAGGAAGGAAATAAAAAACATGGGTAACTCTAGAAAACAGCAAAGGGAATAATAAGTCATCACTTCAGGACTGACCATACAGAGTGATTAGTAAAGCTCTCTCTTGCAGTTACTCAGAAAAGACAAAACTGGAATTAATAGATGTCCAAAAAAAGCCATATTCAAATTCTATGAAGCTATTTAAATTTATTAATGGAACACTAAGTGGAGTATGCAGGTGGTTATTTTTCTGACTTTATTATAATATTTTTCTTCTTGATGCTGGTTGCAGCTATCTTTTGCTGACTTGTAAAAAGATGACTGTCCCTTGCCCTTTTTCCTATCTATACAACACCTTTATCTTAGCTGGGATACTTCCTGCAATGTAAGAATGTCTGCACTAGAATTTGTTTGAGGTTAATTTGTGGAAAAGCAATCTGAGGTACTGGAATGAAATGTCTATGAGATTAATTCTTCCAGTAGAGAGCAAAACAAACAAAGCTATAAATACCACTCAATAGTTATCACCAGTGCTTGTTAAAAACAGTTCTAGAGAATAACAGAGGAAGACAACAAGTGCATATTCATAAAATACAAATCTACAAAACTTTAAAAAATGTATTAGTGCACTGCTAATGTACACAGAAGAATTTTCTGCCAGGTATGTATGAAAATTAAAACACTAACTAAAACATACTAAACCTCAAGGATTTTTATTTTATTGTTACAAGTTTGAATTCTGCATAACCTTGTAAGAATTTCCATGCTTGCACAGGCTTAGTCACGAGTTATTCATGTGTAGATTTGTAAAGAAGATTAAGTGCACATATGAATACTTGTGGAACTAGGACCCAAACATCATCAATGGAGGCATAGATGATTTTGGTTTCTTTACTCATATTTAATGATTATAGTGCTATACAGCTATTATCTATGCTTTCCTCCAGTAATATATCTTGTCTCTAAAGCTGATGGAATTTTTTTATGCATAAAGAAATCATCTTGTGCTATATTCTCTTTCATTCTTTTCCTGCTCCCTTTGCAAAATATTATACTTGAGCTCAAAAGGCCTTAGCATACTTTTGATTTTGTTCTTTATCAAAGGAAGTAATCCTTTGCTTGCCTTGTCTGGTACTAACTACATTCTCTTTACTGAGTGCATGGTCAACTTGACAGCTGGTATGTCAGGCAAGTTAAACAAAACTCCTGGATTTTGAAGGTAAGTCCACCATAAATTAAACTGACAAGGTCTGAAAAGAACATATTTAATGAGTTATTTGTGTTACTTTAAAGTTAGCTGCAAGAATACATTAACTGTACAGTTAAATTCAGTATGTGTTGAAGAAAGGCTGCTGGTAGCTGCAGCATTGCATTTTGCTTAATCCCAACATGACAAAAAAGGTAGACATTAAGCTCAGATGTACTATTTCCAGCTCTTGTGTTCATATGACAGAAATTTGTGATCAGTATTTTGTTATTTCCTGCCTTTATCTCTTTTCCAAGAACATCCACTATATGGCAGTGATTTAGAAAAACTTCACCTCTTGAAATGTGATATCATTCTGAAGTACTGCAACACCTAGTTTGAACTGTTGGTCTTGAACTTCCCACAGAGCAACAGCAGTGTGAGCAGAAAGTGCAGCTGAATTTCACCTTTTCAGAAATAACCTGTCCTCCACAAAGTTCTGCACAGTTAGTCTGTTCTTAGATTGTAAGGAAAAGTGTTCATATTAGTTAACAGAATAACTACCAACGTTATATTTGTTTTCCTTTGACCAAAAATGGCTCAAATCTTTTTTTCAACCCATTAGAATGTTACCTGGGGAAAAACAAAACAAAACAAAACTGAGAGAAATAACTAAGGAATACACCTGAAAAATAAAAAAAATAAAACCCCAACCAAATGTGTGACACTTTTGACCTTGGAATAGCTGCCAAATACGTTCCTAAAAGAATTGTCTTTATGCCACTTATATGTGCTGTGATAGCGTCCTGACACAAAAGAACAGGAAACTAGAAGGAAAACACTGTCAGGTGAGTGCCTGCTATGTTCACCTGCGTGTGTGCAAGGTGTCGAAGTAACCATTGTTTTCCATTCCATGCTGCCAATGTTTTGGCTGGAAAACAGTAATCAGCTGTAAGCACGGACTGAGGAGAGCCCAGAAGAGAGAGGAAGACTGAGAAGCAGTGAGAAAACCTGACATGTAAGGACAAGTTGATAAAATTGTTTGGTCTAGCAAACAGGAGGCAAAGGGAAGATAGAAGAGTCTGGAGCAGAGGTGGTGAATACACAGTGATGAAACAGAGGACTCGGTACAAAGTAGTTGTCTGTTCTTACAGCTTTAGGATTCTGGAGTGGCTTTCAAGCAGGTGCTCAAAAAGATTTAAAGGCAGTTATGAAGACAGTCTCCTTTCCCACACCCAGAGCAATTAGCAGTATGCATGGAACTTTTTTTTCCCCAAACAAGAGCTCTTTAGTTGACAAAATTAATATAAACAAGAGTTATTTGCTAAGCCTTTTCCCTCAGCCTGTTCAGTTTATTTATGCAACACACAAATGTTTAAAGTGATTTAAGGGAGAAGTGAATGGTTTTTTGCTGGGAGTTACATAACATGAATACCTACAACTGCCCTGTAAGTCAATCACTATTTATTTCACTAAAATCTATGTGTGAAGTCATGTGCCTGTTAGCAAGTCAGCTATCAGGAAGAAGGAATAGAGAAAACCTGAATTAAAGAGCCTCAGATTATTTCCACCCTCTACAGTGTTTCTGTGAATTCTAGAAAGAAGGTGCTCACACATTTTTTC